AAAAAAAAAAAAAAAACAAAAACAAAAGATCAAGCATCTCAATGCGTTGTTTGTTTAGGACTAAGACTGAAAACATACGACGGTGTTTACTAAAAATAAAGAACTTTTAGCTTTAAATTTTCTAAAATCTTAAGAGGTATTACAAATATATATTTTTTCTTTAATTACATGTAACACTATATTCGTTCTACCAAAAAAAAAATTAATATTATATTTTAATAATAAAATTCAAGGAAAAAAAATTATAGGCATCTCAATGTCATCATTCTCCAATTTTATTCCTTTATAATTTATGGGGGAAAAAGAAAAACCGTTGAGCTGAAATAAGAGTTAATTTTATAAGAAGGGAAACAAAATTGTTGGGCTAAGAGGTGGGTTACTAGTTGGGCCACACAAAGCTCTCCATGTTCTCATTGAAGCCTGGACCACAAGATCCCCCCGAGCATCTACCTACGGGCTTTAATAGTCAATTTACGGCAACATAGCCAGGCCCTGTATGGCTTAGGAGTAGACTACTTGTGGCTAGAATTGATTGAGCCGGGCCCTGCTATTTCTAGGAAGAGGAATGCTACCTGCACTCGCCTTTCTCCAGCACTCCCCAACACTCTCTCATGTAAAATGTCCACGTAACAAACTTTGGCTCGCAATTCAAAGTTTCCAACTAAAAGAGTTCACGTGGCTATTTTGGATGAAGGAGTGTTGGAGAGTGCTGGAGAAAGGCGAGTGTAGCTAGCATTCCTCTTCTAGGAATGGATTAGCCCGACACCCCACAACCGAGGCAAGTTGGGTAGACTAAACAGTGGTTATAACGACATATTGAAAACTCTACCTGCACAGTGTGGGACTCTAACCGAAACTGAAAAATGACGTCACTTCGATAAAAACGCATCTGCGGTCGTCTTCTTTTTTGAGAAGGCATTAGTTTTTTTTTTTTTTTAAACCCTTAATTTAATCTCTCAATTATTGTATGAATGTTTAAATTATTTTTTTCAACCAAAATAATCCTTAATTTGATTTTTAAAATTTTTAAATTTGACTTTAAATTAGTTCTTCAATTAAAAAATAACTTTGATATATCTATTACTTAATAATAAAAAATAACTATTTGATGGTCACGTATCATGTTATTAACAAGATACGTCAGTTGTTTTTATATAGAATAACTAATTTAAAATCAAATTTTAAAATTTTAAAAATCAAATTAAAAATTTTTTTAATTCAAAAACTAACTTATAAGTGTATATAATAATTAAAGTACCAAATTGGATATTTAACCTTTTTTTTTAACCCCTTTTAGTCTTTCTTTTTCACACGTAATGCATTGCTTGACAAAACCTTCTTTCATTATTTTTTCCCATTCAAATAGGTGATGTGGATATTCCCAACATGCAAAAAATGGAAGGCTCATACTTTAATAACCTTCTTCTCCAGCAAAGCAGAAT